AGTGGGTTATTGGGAGTGTGTTCCCATCACCAACAACAACTTGTTGATCTCCTTTGTATGAGTTGTTCTAAATTTCAATAGCTGATTGTAAGTTGGGATGTGGTGTCACTATCTAAGTTTCATTCGTTTCATTTGAAATTTTGGGTCGTTAAGAGTGTTATAACAGCCTTGGTAGAAGGGTAGGATTTGAAGTTTGCTTGGTGCCTGAAGATAAAAGCTATGTCTCCTAACTCGTCACCAATTTGACAAGTTAGAGCTTAAGAGTTGGATCGACCTCCCCTGTTTCGTGTAGGTATAGGTCTTCCTGTAAAAGAGGAATTGAAATCAAACCTCCCACCTCCTTTGGAGAAATTTCTACGACCTCTGAGATTAGGTGAAGTGTCATGGTTGTTGTTGTATTGGCATCTCTCATTGCTTCATTTGTAATGTTCACTTCTTCACTACAGGGTAGGGAGATAGCAGTCTTAAATGATTGATAAGAGGGAGGGAGACCATTAAGAAAATAGAGGATTATATCCTCATTTTCCATATTGTCACCTGCAGTTGCTATGTTATCCACCAAGATTTTCTCAAAATATATTGGGACATGAAAGAGCACATCATGGAGATGTGGCGTAGTTATGTTTTCAGTTGAATCACCCTTGATTGATTTGTAGACGTTTTGAATTTAAAAGTTATCGGGAAACACACCCAAGGAAAATAACATTCTTCTAGAAAGCGATGAGAGAGAGAGAGAGAGAGAGCACAGTAGGGGACAATAAAAGAGAGTGTTCTTTATTCATAACATGAACCTCTATTTATAGACATATGTCTCAGTATTACAAAACTAAATTAACCCCCTTATTATTAACATTTCAAGGGGACTTTTGGCAATTACAGATTTATTCACATATAATAAAACCGGGGACTAATTTGATCGATGAGAGTTGTCGATCGTCTAGTAAGCCTCGACTCGATTGATACTTAATATGAAAGAGAGCCTCCCGTCAATCGTCTTGAGGACTGATCCCCAGTCTGCAAAACATATCCTGACACTTTTCACCAATTGTTTGGACAAGACACCTCATTTGTCAATATCAAGTTCAAAACGGTCGTCAACAGCTATGCTCGATCGTCAGTCTCATCTTCCTGAGCTCCTGCTGATATACCTTTATATGTACAAGACTGAAACCTCTTAGTGAGAGATTCCCATATTTCTATTGTAGAATATAGATTTAGTACATAGGGTAAGATATGTAAAAGATGAGATGGTGGAGTATATGGCTTCGAACAGATTCTAATTGATGGGTTGCCATGCATCTCTGACGTCTAGGATTTGGTGTGAGGTTTCCATCAAGATGTTGAGTACGGGAGATGGGTAGGATGGAGCATCCGTTGCAAGTCTCAAAACAATTTGCACTGAATAATTTCTGAACCTATGATCTTTTGGTAGGAAAATTTAGATAGCTGCACCGAGTATTGAATGAGAGGCTGTAATTTGTTCCAATCAGCTCTACTACAAGAATACAGTAAAATGTCTATAGACAAAATAACATAATGGAAGAATCATGTGGTGCCTGAGACAAACGAAGGTTGTAATAGGAGCAGAGCAGAGTATACTGGAGACAACACTGTTGGGACCACACATATGCTTTGCAATTTAAATATGTTAATGTGATATGAAATAGCCTCAGTTCAAGATTTGGCTTTTTTTTTAGGTTTTTAAAATCTGTTTGTCATAATTTTTGAAAGGATCTTGGTTATATATAAGTACTTTAAACATTAGATTCAATAAGACCGATTAAATACTTTTATTTAGTCACATATTGAACACAATATGAGAAAATATTAAAATTATTGATGATGTGATAAATATTCGAGCATTCTTATAATTATATTTACAAAATAAAACTTGTGATCTAATCAAATTATTTGCACATACACGTAAGGGTGGAACCAACATTATTTTTAGAGTGGTAAAAATAATGTTTCAAAAATGTATGGGATGTCGAGTACCACACCCGTTATAATACATCACCGGTTTCTGGTGAAGTAATTAATAAATTGTATAAAGTATATTTACTATTTACATAAATAAATTATAAAGGGAGTAATTGCCAACTCTAGACATAATTTGGTTCCATCCTTCATGTGCATAAAAAATTATAAGTGAATTGACTTTTCGAATCATATGCACCCCACGTACTTAGATCAGTTGGTCAGACATTTGCTTGTCGGTTGTAAGTTTCCTCTGATCTAGGGTTTGATTCCTCTGAGTGTAGGGTGTGGTACTCAAATTCTTTGACACATGAGTGATAACCGCGACTTGTATAATAGCCTCTTGTTTAAATATATATATTTATATAACATGTAAAACAAAATAGTCTACCACTATGCTCATTACTATTCAAATTTGTCCCTAAATGATTTACACCAAAATGAACACTAATAAAGTAAGTTACGAGAGAATCATGTAATGAATAACTTATTAGAAGAAGCCAAATCTGCATATATTGGATATTGTCATATATTGTCCCCATAATGCCATGCCATTGATTCTCCTAAACATTAGGATGATGTGGCCAAATCTTAAAAGATTACAAATTACAAATAACCCCTTAATTTAGAGGATGATCAGCCCTACTTTTAGGGAAATATGCCAAATTAAATTTGATGGAAAAGGCATTAGCCATTTATTTAATAAATAAGATTGGAAGTCTCACGTGCTTCATTAACAGTAGGTGAGATCCCACATGGCAAGCGAATTTTACGTGTCAGATATCAATTTGCAAATCTCAATCTGGTCCGTATTTTCATTATTCCTACGAAGCATTTTTTAAGCACCCATAATTTGATTAATAGTTTATATTTACATACATTCCAAGTGTAATTTGTATGTATTTACATATCTAATATTTATAAATTAATATTTACACTTATAACATTTTTGTCTCATTAATCCATCCAAGAAAATGTGTGTTTCACTTTTAAAAGTATAATGAAGCTAGTATTATATTCCCTATATATATAT